ATATTTGGGTTAAACTGTTCTGGAACAGTGTTGTAAATACAACTTAACCACTGATTTGTAGTTGTGTCCTCTTTTGGAAGGCCAAACAAAGTAGTTTCGCTTTCACAACGAAACACACAGCGTCTCCACGACAAGGCGACAGCAGCAACAATACTACAGCGAGAATAAAAGTTATGCCTTCTTTCTTTGCATGAACATTTGGCCAGCATTATGCAAATCTTCCCACTTCGTGACGTAGACATGTGGGGGGCGTGTTAGAACGAGCTGTTTTAAGAGGGCGTGGACGAGTCTTAACTTTTATAAAGAATATCTCTTTGGGTTTGAGACTTTAGTCTTTGCAACTTTAGGGATCTTATCTATTCACGAACAGCTTGTAACACTCCAAAGAGAAAGGAAAAATTGAAATTGCATCATATGACCCCTTTAAAAAAACAATTCATATATAATTTTTGGGGGTCATGACATTTTACAGCCTGAACTAGCCATAAAAAATATCAAGATGAATTAAATTTAGATATTAAATATGCTTATAAATTACTTTAATCATGTGTGTATCTATGTGATTAAAATAACAACAGTTGCTTTCAGAAAACATTCTTCAGTGGCTGTCAGTCTGAAACCGACAGGTCTCCTTGAGCTGTATGAACTGAAGTCAGTTGATACCGTGTCACTGCACAAGTACTGTTAAATACTTCTTGGCACCTACAATCTGATAAGCCTTGCAAACTCGGCTGGGACATGTTATGGTGTACACAAAAAAGTGTTAGGTGACACTTGAGATCATGCTGAGTGATTCAGCCTGTTGAAGATGGAATTACAGTTCCAGGATCTCTGTAAATCAGTGAGTGTCAAGACAACCCATCTGTACATTAGTTCTTTTTAGAAGTTTTAATAACTCAAATGTCGAGCACAACATGTCTTGTATGTCAGCATGTGACAGGTAGATTTACAGGTAGAATCTGATTTCTCTTCATTCCATCTTATCTAAAAGCCCACTTCAAGGCACTTATATTTCTGCATAACTTTGATCTGATATTCGCAGTCTGCTTAACACACAATACGGTTTCATATCAAAACCGCCACGTTTTTCTACAAAAGTGAATCATACCTGCACAGCAATTCTGGAGAATTTTGTACCATTCTTCTTAAAACTTTTATTTCAGCCATATTCTTAGTAAGGCCAATGCATCTCAGTTGGGTTGAGGTTAGAACTCTTGACCAAGACAAGATGTTTTTCCATTTTCGTTCATCAGTTATACAATACTTTTATTGAGACCAAAATGTCTTTTCAGTTTAATGAATCTGAGTGAATACAAGATTGATTATGGTGTGCATGCTTGATTCATTTAGCTGTTACGGATTTTTTTTGGTCCTGAGTTGTGCATCAGGTTTGACCCAGGGTCTTCTTGTTCCCAAAAACATCCATCATGTTTTTAACATGACATATTACTGTTGCCGCATCAGTAACCGCATAGTATGTTATTATACTAGAGAAAGGACAATTTATTTCTTCTAAGGTTTAGTGAAACCTGAACTACGGATTCCCATAAAACACTCAAATGCAGAACATTTGGCACTGGACCAAATAGGTCTCCTTTGAACTGAACTGAACTGAGTTATAAATGTGATATGGTAAGAATAAAATAAAAAAATCTGTGAGGGATCATATAAAAGTTTGAATTACAAAGGAGGCAAAATAATGGATTTCTTTTCCCAGATTGCATGCAGCCCTCATCACAAATCTTGGCAGTTCCCAGTAAACGAGATATGCTGTCAACTTTTCATTCACACTTACCGTAATTTCTAAAATTCTATCCAACAAGTTGGGGCATAATCAGATGTGGCTTTTGAGCCCCAGAATTCAGAGCTTTGTCGTATAAATACTGTGTAACCCTAAATTTGAACACCGAGTTCTCTTGAAAAGCAGGAGTCTTGAAGACTTAAAACATTATTTTAGACAACGTTTCTCATTTTCTGACTAAGCACTGGTGATAATGAACTTCCAGGTGCTTCTGCTGGTCTTTGCTGTGGTGACTGCCACTAACATCAACTGTCAAGGTAAAAAAAAAATAATAATTATGAATACATTTACGCCATGCTATATGTCATTTTCTGTTGTAATAGTTATTTTGTGTTATTTTTATATTGCGTTAGTTTGCTGTCATGTTACAAAACAACATTTTACCTGTTATATTACTGTTAAATCCTGTAATATAATACATTTGAATACATTTTGTTTTAAAGAAGTAAAATTCTATGTATAATTTATGTGACGTTTTGATGTTTCTAAATACTCCTTTATTGCAGCACAACCTCAGCCGGGAGATTCAAATAAATCTCCAGTGGTCAAAGGTCACGTCATATCCAGGCAACAGGGCAAGACATGTAGCTGCGTTGGTAAGTGATGATAGTACTCTTTCTCTATGCAAACGGTTACAGAAAGTTGCATTTTTTGAAACCTACATGAGAGGTCACCATGGCAACAAATGATTTAAAAATAACATTTCGATGAATCACAACATACTAGGAAACCAAAATCACTTATATTTTCTTATACCTTAATAAACATTTACTGATGATCCTTGCAATTCTGTAGAAAACACTTTATTTTATGTGTTGCTAAATGTCTCTAGTTGTTCTTCTGATGTGCGGTGATGTAGATTTTGGTTCAGAAATTCTCTAACAGTATGTGCTGCCCAAATGTAGTGCTTTGTAGTGTTTTTAAAAGTATTTATTGTATAAAATGACAGAGTCCTAGTAATTTTGATGTGTTGTTTTCCATAGGGAGAAGAAATGCACTGGAGCAGAACTACTGTACCTGCGAGCTGCAACGTCAATATAGTGAGTCATGCAACCTGTATTTACCCAGACCATTTTGTTTGTTATGTTAAACCTAGCAGGTCATGAAACACTGAGTCAAAAGAAAGCTTTTAAAATAATTGTACAAAAGTTACTATTTTTTTGGAAGTTATAATACATAGATACATCTCTATTGTTTTATTTTCAGGAATCCTCAGTAAAGAGCAGAAAGCTTTGTGCCTAAAGAAGGGGATTTCGACATTTAAAAAATGCCAACAGTTGATTGGAGGAAACAGGAAGGCGAAAAAAGGCATCAGTATGCCAATTTAACCCACAGTCACTATACTCACCAACTATACACCCCCATCATTTTAAACATGTACTTATCACACCATATCTTAAGTAGTGTATACTGAACTATTTTTGTATCTCTTATATTCAATAACATTTATTCTAGTCAATGTTCTACATTCAGGTTTTACAATTGTAAAAAAAAAAAAAAAGCATACTGGAAAAAGACTTGCAAGTGCATTTAAAAATAAAGCATGTTGATAAAGAGAGAAATTAATTTGAAGAGTTTACTTTTATTTGGTCTATAAATAAAGTATATAACATTTAACATGTTTTGATCTTTTAAATAATTGTAAAATGCATTTATAATTTGGAAATAATCACACAGAAGGCATATAATAGTCCTATAAGAAAAGATCGTACAATTGTGAGATATAAGACACATTTGGGAAGCAAACAGAAAGGTAATTTTGATAATTGGTCATTCGGATAAAATTTGCCTGAATTTTGTGTATATTAGTTTTTCCAGATAGAGATTTAAAACCAGAGCTACAAGTAAGAAAATAATCCAGAATTTATTAATTTCAGCAGATTTAATTACAGTATAGCATTCATGTCCAATTGCTCCAATTAATGATAGTAATAAATGTATGAATATACATATATATATGATATAGCTTTTAGAAGATAAATATATAGGCAAATAATGTAGTATGATTAATTAAAATGTAATCCTTTTTTTTTATTTTACTTTGTACTTGCC